TTACTCAGGTTCTGTGCAGCTCGTACAACAGATGTTGAGATCGTCGCATGAGATCTTGTTCTCTATCTCGGCTTTCTCGCCTTCCCGGAGTTTCATGAGCGTGTGTCGATTGGTTTGCATTGTAACAGAAGAGGAGATGGATGGTATTGTCTTGGTCTCCTCCTGCTCCTGCTCCTGCTCCTGCTCCTGCTCCTGCTCCTGCTCCTGCTCCTCTTCCTGCTTCCTGCTTCCTGCTTCCTGCTTCCTGCTTCCTGCTTCCTGCTTCCTGCTTCCTGCTTCCTCCTCCTCCTCCTCCTCCGTCACCTTTTCTTCAACCACCACCGCCAACACTTCCTCCTCTTCCTCCTGCTCCTCTTCCTGCTGCTCCTGCTCCTCTTCTTCTTCCTGCTCCTGCTCCTCCTGCTCCTCCTTCTCCTTCTCCTCTACCTATCTATCTACCACAAGCTGACACTTCTCCAGCTCTTTCTTCCGCCGTGTCTCCTTGCGAAGAGGACTCCCCCCCCACGAACTTTGTGCGTGAGATGCGGCGAGGAGGCGGCAGGCTGAATCCTGTTGCTGTCAGTTGATCGACTTCATCGGAGACGACAACGAAGATCGTGCGAGGAAGTTTGGGAACGAGCTGATGCAACAATACATCTCCAAGATGCCCAACAGAGATTCAAACTTGCAGGACACAAGGGTCGCCATGATCGAGAGACTGATCGAGGAAGCAACCACAATCGCTGAGCTCACGATGGGACGGGGGGAGAAGGTGAGAACATTGGGAAGTGAAATGTATTCAGTTTGAGATGTTTTGTGTTGTTTGCGCTTTTGACGTCTTTCTCTCTGACGTTCAACTGGGTCTGTGTGAGATTGTAGTATTTTTTGTTTTCATTGTGAAGGGGGTGAAAGGTTTAAACAGATGGTGCAAGGAACAGCTCTCGAACAAAAGAAGGTGAAAAAGCAAGAAGAGCAGAAAGGATTCCATCCAACAGAGAGAAAGTCAAAAGAGAAGAAAAAGAGGCAGAAGAAACAATAATTGAAAGCACGGGGGAGAAAACTTCTCACACTGAGAAAGGATCCATCTTACAAACCTGATGCAACGAATCAGAGAAAATCATAAAGACAACAACGACATGTTGTCAAGATTCTCGTCATGTCTCAAAGTGAAACACACCGGACATGTACTGTTGTCCCTCAACCAACGATCAATGCAATCTTTGTGGAACTGATGCAAACAAGGCCTGGCAGGTAGTGAGGAGATAGAGAATGGAGGGGGGAGGGAAGGGCGAGAAGGAGGGAGGACAAGGGAGAGGGAGGAGAGGGGCAGGGAGGAGAAGGGCGAGGGGCGAGGGGTCAGGGGGGACGGAGGCAGTGGAAGAAGGGAGAAGAGAGAAGGGAGGAAAAGGGAGGAGGTAAGAGGGGAGGAGGAGGCCTGTGGTCCAGTCAGTCAGTCAAGGAAGGGTCTCACAAGATTCGAGCTTGATCGCTGACGTTGAGCGGGTCCAGACAGACGGTGCAGGGCGGCGCCTTGCTGCCTTCAGCGACGCTGCTGGGTCGTCAGCAGCTGCTGCGGGTTGAGGAGAAGTTTACGTGTAGCAAGGGAGGCGATCGATGCGATCCTGCAGTAATGTAAGGAGGAACCAGATGGAGGACAGGGGGAGAGAGGAGGAGGAGGAGGAGGAGGAGGAGGAGCGAGAGCGGGTGGTGGCGTCGGCAGAGGAGTGGAGGAGGATATGACTGTGGAGGGAAAGGTGGTAGAGGCGATGATGCTGGAGGAAGACGAGGCTGGAAGGACTGGTAGGGAGGGTGGGGAAATGGAAGGATGGAGAGGGAGGAGCACGAGCACGAGCACGAGCACGAGCACGAGCAAGAGCACGAGCAAGAGCAGCAGCAGGGGCAGGAGCAGGAGGTTGGAGTTCCGACCTGATTGGCTCCTCTGCTCCTTCCAGCCGCCTCATCGAGGGAGAGGAGAGCTTCATAGTCGTTGGACGTGAAGTCTTGCGAGCACTTCAAGAGATGCGCACGAGGAGGAAGCAAACCTCGGTTGATGAGAGAAAGACGAAGATGATCCTGGGAGATGTTTCCAAGATTTCTGCATGTAACAAACATTCACTTCCTCCTCCTTCCCCCCTCCTCCTTCCTCCACTTCCCTCGACTCTCCCTCCCTCCCCCCTCTCCTTCTCTGCATCCATCCCTTCCTCCCAACAAGACCACATCCCTCCCTCCTCTCCTCAACCCACCTTCCCCAGTACGGCAAGACTCGCATCTCACTGGCGTCCTCCCCGAACATTCCTAGAGCGCAGCACCAGCATCGTCACAGTCATGTCAGAGGCAGCAGGAGAGTTACGTCGGAGCCGCCGCTGCCTCTCAGCCTCTAATCGTATTCGCATCGAAATCATCCCCAACGACATTATGGTCCCTGCCGCACACGATCACAACCACGTCGCCTCCCCCCTTCCATCCTCTCTTCCCCTTCCCCTCCTCTCTTCCTCTCCTCTCTTTCCCTCCTCTCCTCTCTTCCTCTCCTTCCTCTCCTCTTCCCTCCTTCCTCTCCCTCTCTCCCCCTCCCCACTCCTCCTCCCTCCTCGTCCTCCTCCACTCCTACC